CTCGGCTGGTGCCTGGAGCCGGCCCTGAGCCCAACTGTTCCAACCTCAGCACCAACCATTACCTCTTCATCAGTCACTTGAGATCTTTGAGCTCCTTCTCCACCAGTCTTCTCTTCATTCTTCTGCACACTTCTACATGCTCACTGATGCTCTGCTCTCAGTCCCTCCTCCTTTTTCTCTCTCTTCTTCATGCATATGAATTCAGCCTGAACGGGGTTACATGGCAATCATCACAAAAGGATTCCAGCCTCTTCAGCCAGTGGTATGGTCACATCCACATAAGGAATTAGCAGACACTGAACAATTCTAACCTTGCTCTCTCTCAAAAAACAAACGGTTAATGAGTGTTAAATGGTTCTGTCCATGGTGCTGATTATTGTATTTAATTTTATGAAAACACATTTAAGGTAAAACAGAAACACCTTTTGTGTTTGTTTGTTGTCAAACAGATCAGTGCAAATTACATATTGTGTCTCTACACAATGATGCAAGTCCCACACTATCTCTAAATGAATTCAGATAACTATGAAAAGCTTTCATTCAGCACAATATACAGTTATAGCAAAAGTATTGTTATCGCAATAGTGACAAGATTTACAGTCTATTTTATTTAAAGAAGTGATTTCTTAAACAAGTGCTTCTTGGAACAGCTCATTACAAAGAACACACATGCAGTGCTTGTTTTCTAATAGATCCCAAGTAACACCAAGCAGCTGGTTCAAGTAGTAATTATCAGATATATAGGCATGAGAGAGATGAGACACTAAGTAATAGTGACAACATTAATTTTAGTATGCTTGGGCGTAGAAAGGTCTCAAACTAGTATGGTGGCACAACTTCAGAAAGTGAGTTTTCACCTAAATGAGGAAGTAAATAAAAAAGGCCCTAAAATCAAAAGAAATAACAATCTTTAAGATCTGGCAAGAATGCTATCTATTATTCAATAGCATTTAAGCATACCATAAGAGTCACACATGGCATGCAGACTTCCGGACAAAAGAGGAAATAGGAAAGCAAGTTATAAACCAGCATGGCTCAATGGCAAAGCTCAAGAGGTTATTTCAGCCAGACAGCTATCCTTCCGAAAATAGAAATCCAACCCCAATAAGGCCAATAATAACTGTAGAGCCAATATGTAAGAAAAAAATTAAGAGGGCTAAGATGGAATTTTGAGATAAACGCCCAACAATGATTTTTCAAATACCAGAAGCTGTAAGCCTCTAACAGAATCAATAGGCCTGCCTCAATCACGAAGGAGTAAAAGGAGCAATTCAGAAGGATAATGAATTTGCAGATAAGCTAAATGGACAATTTTCTTCACATCTCTTTTCACCAAAGTGGATGGGGGAGGAGGGAGGAATATATGAAGAAAATAGGTATGGGGAGGTAACAATAATGGAGTACTGTCACAGATTGAAGTGATCATGTAATTCTCATAATGTGTGCGCGCACACACACACAAGGGGGCTAAATAAGATTACACTGGTAATCTTAATTCTGACATGTTCTCACTTGAGTACTTGTCTTAGAAGCCTCTTTTAATATAGATGGAGGGGTTTTGTTTTGGGGTTTTTTTTTAGTATACATTACAAAAATTAATTCACCTATCATTGGGTTAGACAGCAACAGCTTTCTTAAAGAGCACAAATCAGAAATACACATCAGTTTAGGACAAAAGTGAAGAATACCTATAGAAAGGAATATCAGTTGAAACAGTTGGAGGAATTTCATCAGGCGGATGTAATTACCCAAGTTGGGGATTTTTAAGAGCAGGTTGGACAAACACCTTTCAGGGATGGTCTAGATAATACTTGGTCCTGCCTTGAGTGCAGGGGACTAGACTAGAGGACCTTTCGAGGTCCCTTCCAGTTCTATGATTCTAAGTTAGAATTTAGCCAGTATATTGAAGTTTGTTTCACTAATCTTGAGAACTGTGCCATAGAATCCTTGGTTTAGGTCCTCCAGTATGTTACAAGTGTGATCCGAGGTTAAAATGCTGGGCCCATTGAAGTCAGTGGCACAACTTAATTGAACATCAATTACCTATAATAGATGATGATGATCATAACATCTAAAAGTTATTAAATGAATCATTTCTGTTACCATGCATGTTTAATATTATTTAAACATATCACCCAATCGATTTGTTGGCTTCAGGCTATAGGAAGAAAGAGTCATGTAAATTGCATTCTCATTTTTTTGGCTCCAGTCTGTAAATTTATGGGACTGCCTACGTAGCACTAGAAAATGAGTTTAATACATATTAATACACCTCTACCCCGATATAACGCAACCCGATATAACGCGGTAAAGCAGTGCTCCAGGGGGCGGGGCTGCGCCCTCTGGTGGATCAAAGCAAGTTCGATATAGCGTGTTTTCACCTATAACATGGTACTTTTTTTGGCTCCCGAGGACAGCATTATATCGAGGTAGAGGTGTATACAAAAGATTGTATGTAGCTTAAGGAAAGGGAATAAGGGAAATTGGGGGAGGGAATTTTGTGTTAATTCTCTGTTTAAAATGTTTTAACTGGTTTTACACATCACTCCCACAAAAGACATACACAGAGGCTGTGGACATACACTGCAAACACCTCTGAATGTGAAGGAGCTATGGTGGCCACACAAGCTAGCCATGTCAGAGTTAACACACTATAAAGAATAATGGTGCATTTAATACTGTCGAGTAGAACTGTTTAGGAATTTTCAGGTCAGGCTGCTCAGTTCCCTGCCTGGCCTGATCCCTGGCAGCCTGGACTCCCAGGCTCCACACACTGCCCAGGCAGCAAGCTGAAAATTTCAGTTTTCCTGAAATAGACTGAAAATGATCTATCCCTAACTGTGAAAAATGTCTCTTCTCCCCCCCCCCTTTTGTCCTGATTTGGGATTAAAGTTTTTTCAAAAATTCAAAATTTTGCTTGGGACGGAAAGACTACTTTCTGGCCAGCTTTACTTCTAAGTCATAGTTCCAGTCTTCATGAATCTCAATGCAGACAGTAATGCTTCTTGTTTGTGTTGCTGCTCTGTTTTGATTTTAATAAATATATGGGTAGAGCAGTGTGGCTGCTTATTGGGAACCCTTTCATGGCCAGAGATTGCTTTACAGGTACTCTGCTCCCATTTGCCTGTCTTGTGGACCCCTTAAGCACTCCAGATAGTCTCTGTTGTGACTCTCAGTGCCCCTTTCTGGAGCTGGTTTAATATTATATACAGTTTACATAAACCTCAGTCCTTAATCACAAACTAATCCACCTGTTCTCAATGAGTCCCAACAAAGTCCAAAATCCTAAGCTCCACCAGTTCCCAGTTCTCTGGCCCTGCTTCCGTTTATTTATTTCTTTTATTTATTTATTTCTCTCTCTGTTGGTCTCTCATGTAGCCCACCACTTTTTTGATGTTTTTTATAGTGGAATCCCTGAGTCCTTTCAGGAGGTGTTTATATTGTAATTAGGTCTGGCTTAGCTGTAGGCAAGGTAAAGACAGGGCAGGGGTAGTCCAGAAGAGAATGCTTGAGCAGCTGAAAGGCTACGAGTAAGCTGGTGGTAGGGAGCTGACACCCAGCCAGGCATAGGCATGACTACTTCATGCTGGAGGCACAGGGTAACAAGGTGACTCACAGTCGTGGGTGCCCTGAGATTCATCACAAGTACTTCAAAGAAAAGAGAAATAACAATTAAGAAAGAAAATTCTCTTTGGTGGATCACAGCGCAAGGAAGAAGTTTTGATGATAACCCAGAAATTCATACAACCTTAAAGTCATCTGGTAAAGAATAAACTCATCCTATAGGAAAAAGAACAAATGTAGAAATAATTGTAAGTTATAAAATCACACTAAGACCATAGGAAGTGTTATACCAGAAAACACTATGAGATGTGATTTCTTAGCTAATAGTGTCAATTATTATTTTCCATGATTATTTGCGATTTAAACCATAAATTAAATAGCATCTTGACATTAGCATGATTTTAATCAAGGTAAATGATGGTGCGCTAAGGGCAATGTGTAATAAAAATACTATTTAAAAGTAGTTTCACCCTTCTTTTATTTTTAAGAGCGCAATACAGGAACTGAATGAAGTACCGGTCAGACACAGCATTGCAGATAAGAGATGAGGCTATATGCAGCCATGCTACACCTATGTAAACTGATAAGGAATTCTTTTAAACACTACAGCCATATATGATAACTCTGAAAGCCTTTTGGAGGTAGAGGGTATCTGTAAACTACTTCATGGAATCAAGTCGTCTTTGGTTGCTCGATACATTATTTCAGCTAGAGAAGAGCTGCTTATTCTAGACCTTGGGCTACCCCCAGTTTTAGACACCACACGACCTAGGGAGGTGGTGCTGAGATGTAACCTCCACAGAGAAACACAGGCTTCGCTGCTACCCACCCCGCATGTTGGCAACCACTGCAGATGGCTCACCTCGTTTGGTAACTTTCATTCCTTTTGCCCAGCCCAGTCCCCTTTGTCCATTCCCCTGGCTGCCAATCAGCCCACCTGCCTCTTTCTTAAGCCTCAGCTCCTGCATCTTGTCCCTGACTTTGCCCCTCCCTCCACCTGTTTCACCCTCCCCCGGCCATGTATTGCCCCCTGCTCTGTCCTGTCCGTTCCTCCCTCCGCTCCCTTTCAACCCACTCTGTGAGCGGACTCTGGCGGCAGAGAAGGGCAGCGCTTTCCGCAGGCGGCGCCGGCCATGCTCGCGCGGCCCGGGCATGCGCACTACAGTCCAACAACCCGTTCTGAGGGGAAGCCGTTTCTGGCGCTAACTGTTCCGGGCGGTGTCACAGTGCAGCCATGTCTGGCGCGAGGAGACAAGCCCAGCTCGTTCGGCGGCGCCCTCTGTGAGGAGGCGGAGGAGAGGGGCAGCAGCGGGCATCCATGTCGGCGGCCAGGGATTAGCGAGGGAGACACCGAGCCCGGGAGGGGGGAGGGTAACTGACCCCCTCTCCTCTGGGGCTCCGGCGGGGGAGACGCGGAGCCGGCCGGCGGTGGGGACATGGCTGACCAGAATGCCCCCAACAGCCACCTGCGGTTAGAGTGGGTCTATGGCTACCGGGGTCACCAGTGCCGCAACAACCTCTACTACACGGCGGCTAAGGAGATCGTCTACTTCGTGGCGGGGGTCGGCGTGGTCTACAGCCCCCGGGAGCACCGGCAGAAATTCTACCTGGGGCACCAGGACGACATAATCAGGTACCGAGACCCTCACGACCTTCCCTGTGCCCTCGCCCCAGAGCCGCCGGAGCTCCGGCCGAAATCCGGCCGGGGCACCGGGATATCCCAGCGACTAGAGACCCCCTTCTATCCTGCAACCCCCTACTCTCCCCTGTCGCCTCCACCTTCAGCCTCGGGAACACCCAGCGAAGCCCTGCCTGGGGCACCAGGACATCCCCGGGTATCCGAGATCCCGATCCTCAGAAACATCGGTACAAATTGTACTTGGGATACCGGACTGTGTCATGTCCCGTGCCAGGATCACCAGACCTCCCACCCCTTTCTCCTGGCGTGATCACAGGCAGAATATTGGAAAGAATCTGAATATGGCAATGACAGTGTGGCTTTAATTTCTCTCTCTCTCCCCCCCCCCCCCCAATTTAGTTTGTCTTGTATGGCAGCAAGAATAGAAATCCCTTTAGAAACGGCTTTTGGATCGCGCGGTTCACTGCCTGCTTTCCTCAGGTGCTTGGTGCTGAAATTTGTATGCATGGCTGTATGTCAATATTTTGCCAGTATAAAATGATGTGTCTCGACCGTTGCCTGGTTCCCATCTGTGTGTGAAAGTCAAAAGGCTGGGAAGTGGGAAGTAGTAATCTGATGTGCATTTCAAAGTCATTCAACTCAGGAGGAGGTTAATCTGCAGCAGGTAGACCTTTGGCCCACATTTAAAATACAGCGATTAGAGTATGGAAATGAAAGACACGTCTTCAGTTTCTGCAACGTTTAAGATAATTTTATAATACCAAACATTCTTGCACATTTGAAATTTATTCTACAGCTCTGTCTAATTGTAGTAGGCTAAATGGTGAGTTAATAAAAAAGATTAAACACCAGTGGTGCAGAAGCAGAGTAGATGTCATGGAGGTGGAGTTATTTCCTAAATACACCAAACCAATAGTAGGCTTTTGGATACCCAGGTAGCATTGGAAGGCGAGTGGCAGTATTTTGAAGTGTATAAAGGGTAGATGTGAACCTGAGTCAGCAATCCTTTCTCTTCCAGTAGGCCTCATTGTGTGTGGATTTTAAATATTGTTGTCCTTTGATTGCTGTTTTTATTTAGAGAACAATTTTCAGTAGCCAGTAAATCTTGTAAAAACACATTGTATACTGTGAATTGCTTGTGATGCTGGAAAGCACTTGGCATATCTTTTATAATTGCTGTACAAAGGTATTAACTAGCATTGCACATAGAAAGTAAAATGGATGCTGACTCTTTCATTCAGGGTTTAATACATTCTAGAAATCTGGACCAAAATGGCCACAAATATTTCTGTTTTTATTTTGATCTTAAAATTCTGTTTAGGGTCTTTTCAAACTTTTGAAGATTTTAAAGTACGGGTATGAGCTTCTCTTACAGACCATTCTGTCCCTAAATTAATTCCTACTTGGTGCTCAAAATGAGAAGAAAAAATTAGGTAGCTCATGGAATGCTGTGGTGTACTATGCAACCAAGCTGGATCAGATATGTGAATTAGCTATTTGTTCTATGGTCATTTCATTCTTTTTTGACAATTTCTTCTTAATCTGAAACAAAAAAGCACCTTGAGAATTGTCATCAACTCCTCAGGCATTGTGGAAAATCCTTCAGCATAGCTCCCATGAGCCTTTGCTTCCTTTGAGAACAGCTCATACGAATGAAGGGCCCAATCCTGCAAAGATTTACTACATAGTTATTACTGACATGAATAGTTCTCATTGATGTAGTACTTGCTATGATGAAGTTTCCCTGTTGATTTCAATGGGGCTACTTACAGCATTACACCTGGTAGACGTGTTGACAGGATTGGGCCATGAGAAAGAAATTGTTTATGGCTTCCAGCTGTGAAATTTCTTTGGTCTCTATGAATGTTTGTATGGAGTGCTAATTTGAGATAAAAGGCTAATAACTACCTATCATTCAAACTGTACCAAAGAGCAGAAAATCTGCAAGGGGGAAATCTTTAGTGACTTCCTTGATTGTTAGTAGATATGTTTTGGCTTCTGTGGTATCATGATCAAACATACAGGAAGTTCTTGCTTTACAAAGTAGTGCCGTTATGATGATCTGATTCTTTATCTGTTTGCTGAGGACACCCTTGTGGAGTGGGGAGTATTTTCAATTTTGTACAGTTTTGTATACCTATCAAACTTTAGAAAGACTATATAGAACTGTTAGAACACCTGAAGATGTAGTGAACATTCATCTCAACAGTAGAACGACTGTTTCCAATGATACCATCGGTTTTTTTATGATTAATTGGGTTACTTTCTACTTTCTCCTTTAAAAAACAACAACCCCATCCTTGGTAGCTTTTCAAACTTAACTTTGGTGACTGAGGGCATTAGTTCTTAAAGATACATGACTTTTAGTATCTCATCATCCTGAAATATTATATTAAATTGTTTTCTCAAATAAATTAGCTATGAGAAAAATGTGAGAATGTCATTGAAGGTGGGATTATATAACAGAATAATCATTATAGCTGCTTTATTTTCTCTCCATAAAGTAGCAAGTTTTCAGTGTACTGAAAATTTGCTCATACAGTTTGATTTGATAAAACACATTTGTTGAATACTGCGATGTTGTTACTTACAATCTCTGCAGGAAGAAAACTGCAGGATTGCCATTTCTGTATGCATACATGAGTTCTCAGTTGTAAAGGCAGGACTGAGGTTTTAAACTTTATAATGTATTAAAAAATCAAACTTGAGTGCATACAGATCTACATCTGCTAAGTTTAAATTGCATTATAACCTTTTGATAACTAGGTCCCATAATACAAGGTGGGTAGATCATTGGTACTCTTCTGCATAGATATGGCATGTTTTGAATGGCATTCTGATATTAAGCAGCACTTAGGAAGATAGGAATTTTCATACCAGATCACACCAGTCGTCCCTCTAGACCAGTCCAGTATCCTGTTTCTGATAATGGTGGGTACTGGATGCTTGAGAAAGGTGCAAGAACTGCTTTAGTGGTCAATTATGGAATAACTTGTCCATAGTAGACAGTTTCCTCCTAATACACCTCTACCTCGATATAACGCTGTCTTCGGGAGCCAAAAAATCTTACCGCGTTATAGGTGAAACCGCGTTATATTGAATTTGCTTTGATGCACTGGAGTGTGCAGCCCCGCCCCACCGGAGCACTGCTTTACTGCATTCTATCCGAATTCGTGTTATATCAGGTCGCATTATATCGAGGTAGTGATGTACCATCAGTTAGTGGTTAGCGTCTAGTGTCAAAATTTAAACCTCTTATTTAAAATAAAACACACACACATGGTTTAATCTTACCTAATTTAGCTAGATGTTCTCATTATCTATATAAAATGTCTAATCTTATTTTTAATCATGGTAAACCCTTGGCCTCAGTTTTACCTGTGGGAATGAGTCCCACAGGTTAATTATGCATTGAGAGAGAAAAAAGTTTTCTTTTTATCTGTTCGTTGCCTTTCAATTTAATTGAATGTCCTTTTGTTTTTGTTATATGAGAGAGTAATTAGGATCACTCAAATTACTTTCTCTGATATCATTAATTATTTTGCATACCTCGATCATGTCCCTCCCCTTATTTGTCTCCTCTCTAAAATGAACAGTCCCAGTCATCTCAATTTCTCTTCATAAAAGGGCTATCCATGCCTCTAATAATTTTTATTCCTCGTATTAGGACTCCATTTATTTTTGCTATGTATCTTCTGAGAGTCAATAACCAGAAGTGAACACAGTCTTCCAGGTGAGGGTATATCATTGATGCATATTATAATATTTTCAGTATTGCATTCTATCTTATTCTTTATTAGAGTAGTTCAGCAGTGCCACTATAGTTAAAGTTGTGTCACAACTTCTGTTTAAAGGTCAGCCTTGCTAAATCCTCCAAAATTGACATGTTTAGTTGGATTCCTTTGAAGTTTGGTGTGGCTCAGGAAGATGCAGTGACCTGACTTTGAAGTCATTTGAGTCATGGTCTCCTGAGATATATATATATATAAGGCCCCCCCACAAAAATAGTCATTTTTCAAAAAGTTTCTAGGTGGGTTCTCTGCCCACAGCTAAAGATCAAAGTATTGATGTGATGCAGGCCAAAATGGTCTCAATCTGTTGAGTTTTACCCAAAGTAGTATATGGCTCCCACTAAGCCTTTGGAGGACACAAATTGAGAATGGTATTTAAGAAAATGTAAATTTTTTATAGTGCATGTGTCAATACAGAAAAAACAGAGGGTTTCCTTTCTCACCATATTATATATTATAAAACTTGACTCTTGTAAGTGCTCTAAAATCCAAATGGTTATTTGGATTGCTTTGAAATTTGGTGTTTCTTGCATGCAGTAGTGTTAGTGTTCCAAATTTGGGGTCAATTAACAGACGGGTTTCTGAGTTACAGGGCCCCCCAAAAACACTTTAGTTCTGCTGCCTGGTACTGTTAAACTGAGAGGTGACCATTATTGGATGAATCACTGACCTTGTTGAGATTGATGGGTTCAATTATCATAACTAAGGATACATTAATCACAAGCCCCCACCTAAGACAAAAGGAGATTGGGACTGAATGGCTGGAGGTTGCTGCAATTTGTGAATCATGGGTGGCAATTTTATTTTGTGAGGAATGTAATCAAAGTCTTTGAAGGATAAAATTAGATATGTAAATACTTCCTGGGAGGGGAAGGAGTATTAGGGGGCAGAGGTGTGGGGGAGTCAAAGGAGAGATCTTTGGGGCTGCAGTGAGGGGAGGGGAATAAATTAGGATTGGTGGTAGGGGAGGGGAGAGAGGTTGGAGGCTCAGGTAAGGATGGTGTGGGGATTAGGGGGAGTGGAGAAGTGGGACATAGAGAAGGGGGATGTGAGGGTGAGTGGCAGAGGGACTGAAGGAGAATGGGGCAGGCGCACTTGTCAGCCCCACATTCTCCCCTCCTGTGTGTCTAAATCTGGGAGGGTTCTTGCCTCTCTGGGACTCCCCTCATGAGCTGGGAGATAGGGAGTCTTGCCCCACGGATG